TCAACAAGCTTTGTATATTTTAACAAAATAATTTATTTCTCTAGAAATCAACGTAAACATTGGTAAATAGGACTTACAGTTTGTGAATATTATCCAAATTTTGATCTTAAGAATGAAAAAAAAAAAGTCCTATCAATAAATAGTTCTATTAGAATTCAGGTTCGAATCTCGACGACTTACAAATATGGACGGTGATGACGTCAGATGTGGTCCAAAGTACTGATATCAACAATTCCTCAATTGAATCACAGTTTTTGTTTCTGAATAATTCCAGAATAAATTTTTATTAATATCTTTCAGATTTTTATAAGAAAGTCAACTTGTTGAGTTTCCAGGAGAATAAATTATTACATTCAAATATCAGATGAAAAATAAATAAAATAACACCTTGTTCCTTCAAAATGTTAAAACGACTTTGCCAGAAGAATATTAAGAATGCGTATTTAAATCCCCAAAACATCATTTTAAGTCTCGCGAGATGAGTCATGCGGTTTCTTACTACAAGAAATCCATTACGTACCCCAGTCTAACACCCACATAAAAACCAATAACAAATAAATGTTGTTTACAAATGGTGATCACGCAAGGAAAGTATGGATTTTATACTGACCAATCATTTTAACTGCCTGTTTACGAAGTTCCCAACCTAAGACGAACTAAATTAACAAAAAATAATTTTCATGTAACACGTTTTACGTCTTACATAAATAATATTTAGCAAAAGAAAATATCGAATTACTGAAGAAAAAAAAAACATTTATAGTCCTTTCAATAATAATTACAAAAAAATGTAATTAAACAAAAAAATAAATAAAAACGAATCTTAAAGCTAACACACAAGCAGTTTAATTACATGTACGTAACAAGTAACATCATTGCATTAAATGACTGGCATTCAAAGAAATCAAGACTTTTTGAATAATCTCTATAAAACTGCATCTTTTTCAGTATAAAAATCTATGGCAGGGAGGTTTCGTCCTTTCACTTTCTGTGCATTACACTAAAGAATATATTCTCCTGACGCGTGACGTGATACTTATTTTTCCCTAAACTCCAAAGAAAAGCCTGAACAGTTGTTGTTGTTGGTGTAGGGTTTAACGCCATTTCAGCACAAGATAAGCTATATATCGCGGCAAGTATAAACGGTGGATGAAAGACCCGAGAAAACCTCGGAAAAAACCCACCGACTTACGAGAAGCTACTGGCAAGCTTGCTCACATACCCACATTGGCCGAACCCGAGACTCTAACCAACACAGACAGAGGTGAGATGGCAGTGATCCGTAAGGGTGAGCTCTTTAGACTATTCGGCCACTCGGGGTCCCAAAAACCTGAAGAGCGCATTTTGGATGAATATCGTTTGTATAGTCTTATTTTTGATTTTATTATTATTATTATTATTATTATTATTATTATTATTATTATTATTATTATTATTATTATTATTATTATTATTATTATTATTATTATTATTATTTGTAGTAGTAGTAGCAGTAGTAATAGCAGCAGTAGCAAAAGCAGTATTAGTAATAATAGTAGTAGTAGCAGTAGTGGTAATAGTAGTAAAAGTAGTAGTAGTGTTGCTGCATTATTACTACTACCACAACTACTATTACTGCTACTACTACCACTAATAATAATAATAATAATTATAATAATAATAATAATAATAATAATAATAATAATAATAATAATAATAATAATAATAATAATAATAATAATATATATGCATACATACATACATACATACATACATACATACATACATACATACATACATACATACATACATACATACATACATACATACATACATACATACATACATACATACATACATACATACATAAGGGGTAATACTAAACAAACAATGGTGGATAAGGACTGTGCAAGTTCTGTTGAAATGTAGAGAAATTGACGAGTACTAAGAAGTAGCTTACATTCCAGACAAGACGACCACTGTGTCTTCCTGGAAACACTAGTGGGAACCGGCATTTTGTCTCGTAAATGCCTTTATGCTTTCGATGCGTGGGTGTGATTTTTCTCTCCTGGTAATATATGACACGCAGACAAAATATAACTAAATTACTCGAAAAACAACATGTTAAAGATAACAATCAGTGGCATATGATTGGAAAAATTATTGTGCTTGACTCGTTATGGGAAAAGAAACAAGATGTGGCTAGCTGGACCAAGCTTCAACTTCAAATATCAGTCTCTTAGTATAGAGATCATGACGATTGCTAAGCGCATTCTCGAGCCAAAGTGGTTCTAAATGAATATTTGAACTTCATTGGGACAATGCCACTTTGGTCAAGATTTATGAGCAGTAGAGGCGTAGCGAGAACATATAGCGCCTACGGTAAAAATCACCGCAACCACTAAAATTGCGCCCCAATCAAACTGGCGCCCACGGCAATAACCAAGACGAGAACTAAAATTGCGCCCGTATAAAGCTTTGCAGGTAAAAAAAAAAAAAAAACTTTGTTCTGCTCACCAATTTTGTACCACCACCACCACCCCACCCCCTTCATGTGGCACGTGCGATGTTTTTCCATACCGTTGCTACGCCTCTGATGAGCAGTTAGATCGGGTGCTTACCAAAATGAATCATATGAACACTGCAATATATCAATCAGAACATGAGGAAATGCAACGACTAGCCGAAATTTAGTCCACAGCTCAGCTCGGCTTAGTTCCTTACGGATTAAAATTTCCAGGCGGATATGATGAAGTTGTACTCAATCTTATAAAAAGAGCCAAAACTGAGTTTCGTATCGACGATGCCGCACACGTGTATTCAAAATGGCATGTAGGGGATAATAATTGCCAAATTTTCTGTGATACTTAGATAAACAATAATCTTGCGCATGAGATTAACAATCGCGTGCCTGACCGTCAATATATTCTCAGGATTAAGCTTATCAAACAGAACAATGATGATAACTGGGCCATCCAGGATAAAAATGATCCTGCACGTGAGGAACAGCGTCGGCGACACGTTGTTGTGTTCACAAAATCAACTCCTCCTGGCGTGCTGTCATCAATAAACTTGCTACGAGATGGTGTATCCGGTAACCGCGCTCGTGTATGGTCTCTACGTGTCAAACGTATGTAAATGTTATACATTAGCATTTATGCCAACCGGCACAAGAAGTTGGGTAGCACAGCAGGGTATTGATCATTTTACCAATACTAAACATGGGTAAGGCTTGATTGAACATATAAAACAGTTTAGCGGGAATGCAACATAAGCGCTATTGGTGCTAAACTTGATCATATAGCTGCGTTAGAACGTGGAATCTATTGTACGAATATTATTAAAACCAAATCTGTCGATGTTCATCACGATTATAGTAAATACAAGTAAGGTAGTATCATTGAACTTATCCAGCATAACGCACGAGCATTGTCGCCTAAATTGCAATTTCTTTTTAAACGCAAGGTTACATCGTACCGCTGTGATATTTTTTTTCTCAAGAGTGACTGTCTGTTTGATCGGTTTGCAGCTCTTTACAGTGTAACATGTTTGATTAGTTTGTAATGCCGTCTGGTTATTGGGTTATTGTTAGCGCATTGAAAAGTTTGATGATCACATGCGCACAATCGCGTGAATGTACACTTTTGACGTTGATGATATCGTAAATTACTTATTTACGGTCTCGTCAGTTGTGTAACAATTGACACAGCAAAACAGTTATTGGACACCAACCCAAAATCGTTTCTTGAAGATGTCCAGCATGGAATGTGGTTATGGAGATTTCCTGTACACCAAATACGACCCAAACATGGTTGTTTCCGTCGATATAAAGCGAATGCTGTCTTGCTAGTTTTCTCGATCATTTAGTGTAGCCAGTACTTCAAGTGATTCTGTCTTCTCACACATAAATTAACCCCGGCTTTCAACAGTTCTACATTTCATCCGAATGTACATCCAGTAATTCTGGAGTTGTTTGGCCGTCATTGTAATTTGCCACTCAATAACGAGAATCTAGAACTTCGCGTGGATAGGTCCCAGTTGTTCTTTTGTGTTTTATGTCTTGTGTTTTATGCCTCACAAATACATGTTAGCAAGTTTTATAGTTTCTGAAGCCGCCATCTTGTATCGGCTACAAAGAGAAGTTTGGCTAACTGAATCATCTTCACGTGCAACTCGAGGCGAGATACAAGCAAAATATATCTGAAAGAAGATCAATTTCAAGTCTATGTCGGGTGAATCTGCTTTTAGTCACCCGACTTGTTTTACTTGTTATTAATCTGGTCGAGTTAGACTTCTCATCACAGATACAACACTCAAAGGTATGTTTGTGTCTAGAACATTCCTCAGTCTATTCGATAATCTCATCGGGCATGTAGATGCATATCGCGACAACGAATATCCTTAATTCACGCATTTAACATCTTCTATGCTCGTGCATGTATCAACTTGTTTTTGATGATTAACAGGCTTCCAAACACCACAGTTTGAGTCGCTACTGATTCGTTTCATATAGATAAAACCATACAACCACTAGGTGACCATCTCGTGTTAAAACTGGTCGAAATGTGTTGTTTACAGAGTTGTTATTTAACGAGGGTATAATTATTCCGAGTCAATGTGATAACTCAACCGTGTTGATATTACCAATTTAGAATCAAGCAAAAATAGTCAAGACACTAACTAGAATCTGAGAATTATCACGCGCAGCAAAAATGTCAGTTTTTATGATCTCGCTGAAATGTCAGCCGCAACGACAAGTCATGATCCAATAGTGAGTCACAAACTCATGTACTTGAATGGAGTTGGAGGGTCTTGTAAAACTAAGAGAGTCATGGACTTTTTCAAAAACACATCGGATATCGTCGTGCAAACGCCCATGCATATGCTCGCGCGAAAGACATCAAACTTAACTGAAAAGTCACGTCACAAACGTATCATAGCTTCTTTCGATAGTGCGGTAATAAATGGGATAGAAACATTTGTGGTATAGACGAAAACATCAGCCATTATCTCATGCGAGCGCTCCGGTGGCCAAGTTGTAGAGCGTCCGCCTCATATGCGTGAGGTCGCGGGTTCGAACCCCGTCCGAGTCATACAAAAAACTTTTAAGAATGGTACAAACAGCTGCATCGATTGGGGATCAGCTATACGAGATAAGTGTTAGGATTAATTGGCCTGGTGTCATAATATTGTGACTGGGTGGGACATCATGTTACATTTATGCGGAATGATTCCCCAGTGTTAACCGTCACTACAAACTGTCTCATGCAGACATCGTAACGATATGACTGATTTTTTTTTTTATAAAAAAATACGCTAGAAATCTAAATCACACACACTCCGCATGAATAGTTGATCATGACCATAAGTTCTCGCTGATCATTGGATCAAAGACCAGCAATTGCTATAAATTATAGCCTTAAAGTGTTGGAAACTCGATCGTATACAATCTCGTGTTTACGATACTTCTTGATAGCCAAGCAATCGAATCATGCACGAATTTTCAACAATAACGACAACGCTATTAATATGACCCGACCAAAAAAAAAACAAAAAATCGTAGGTCTAGGAAGATATCTCCTACAACACTGACTTTCTTATGATTTTCAACAGCGTTGACGCGCAGACGGTCAGAAACGCGACATGCTGCAGTGTTTTTAAGATTTCCTTCTCAAACGCGGTTGAGACCCTTCACGGGTTTCTTAGCACCCTGTTAGCCGATCCACACAGTTATTACCACGTCAGTGTTGGGCGGTTATTCACTAACCCGTTAATTCGTCAGTTTGTGCCCAGCGTTGATAATAACTATGCCACCCACACGGAAAAATCAAACCGAACAATCTCATCGCGGAGGTCGAACAGACAATTGCCACAGGTACACGCGTCTCTGAAGATGACCACGCCGCGTTTGTTTCCACTCAACATTTCCCGAGAAAATTACCCAAACCATCGCAATTTGAACACACACAGAGAAGCAGAGAAGCTCGTGCACAATTAGCTACATGTTCTGAGGGAATGGTATATTTGATACCCCACCAGTAATGTTATTTTCGCTATCATATTTCAGGAGATGATCAACCACGGTGTTATTGACCGGATGAAGCAAGCAATAAAATAAAGTATGAAAAAAATGGTTGAAATAAGAAAGATCTGAGCAAACATTTAGAATAGATCATCATGTGCCCCCACCCAATATAAACCATTACAATTTAATTATTTACAAGAACAATATGAAACCAAAATTGACATTTGAATGACACACTTTCTTTTATAAATCGAATTACAAAATATCTGCGAAATGTGAATAGCTGTTCTATTATATCGATACAATACTTTATCATAAAATCGATTAACTGATCGAATTCAAATTGTCAGCATAATATGATTGCTTCCTGTTCCTTCCAGATCACTGGTGATGACAGATCATCGTTGTTGTATGTCTTCTTCTTCTTCTTCTTCTTCTTCTTCTTCTTCTTCTTCTTCTTCTTCTTCTTCTTCTTCTTCTTCTTCTTCTTCTTCTTCTTCTTTTGTTAGGGTCCTCAAACTTTAACTGGGTTGTAGTCTGCACTCCTTTCCACTGTGTATCACAGGTATGGAGCTATTTTTCTTTCCAATAAATAAAATGCAGCCTAAATATTTCTCAGCTTATCCCTAATTGCCTTTAAACATTATTCCCACTATTGTTTTATAAGATTTCGCTTCTCGTAGCGCATCAGACTAAGCTAATGTGGTCAGTTTGCAAACTTTTACTAATACGCAATTGTGTAAACAAGAATTAACATTTTTTCCCGGCTGTATCCGCATTCCTAACTGTACCTATGATATAAGTAAACTTCTTCTATAACTATTACGTCAGTAGTAAAAAAGAGGGGGGATGATACACGAAAAATGGAAATAAGCATTGCGGAACCCTAACATCGAAAATATGGACAACTTTTGATACGGACGAAAAAGTTTGGGCCTATATAAGAAACATATTTTCATTGAGTGTATAGACGGACAATAGGAATGGAACAGGTGGGATGATGTCACGGTACAGGACACTTGCAACAGTGTGGCAAGTGGCTGACCTAAATACGCGAGGCTACCACTCTATATAGTGACAAACACAAAAGACACTTTGACATATACAACACAACCACAGATTGATCATCAATCTTTCATACTTAAAATATAAAATTGACTACATAATTTTTATGCAAGAGAGTATATTTCTTAAGGCGAACACAAAATATAAAATCGATTAAACATTTTTAAGCAAGAGATAATAATTATTTTTGAGACATATGAAGTGACCCTGAGAAGGGTATGTTATTTCTTAGGCAAGAAAGAATATATCTTTTCGAGATATATGATGGCCCTGAAAATAGCCGTTTAGCTTTCTTCTGCTTTATCTCCTTCCTTCTTATTGTGCACCAGCACCTCACTTTCTATAGCACATTTTGTTATTCTTTATCTCATCCTTCCATCTATTTTTAGCTACAGCTCGTGTGAAATTCCTTTTGTAAAAGCCCACTATCTATTTATAGCCTCAACTTGTATGACGTTCCTGTTTGAAAACCCTGGTATCTATTTTTAGCTACAACTTGTGGGGAATTCCGTTGGAAAAGCACACGATCTATTTAAAGCATCAACTTGTATGACGTTCCTGTTTAAAGTCTCTAGTGTCTATTTATACCTACAGCCTTGTTGAAAAATCCAAGTCTATATTTATAGTCTCGAACATTTCAGCTTCAATGACGTCGCTATATACAACACGAGGGAATAAGGGCAACAATGTTGCAATCGCCTGACCTGAATACACGCTGCTATTGGCAGGTAAGTAGGTGAAATAAAATTGAAATGGATAAAGGGAGTTTAATAAAGTCAAATAAAGACCAATAAACGCACAAACAAACGTACGCGAATAAATTAAACCAATTATAGGCTATCCACATTGGTACGTGTGCAAAGCAACACACACATACAAACACACAAACGTACGCGAACAGATTCAAACACACACTGCTATCCACACAAACATACGCGAACGTATGAAACACATCATATCTACTAACCACACAGAAAAAAGAGAAGAAAATATACACACCATATCTGTTATCCACACAGAAAGGGAAGACGAAAAAACAATTTATGCTATCCCACAGAAGGGGAGGAAGAATAAAAACACAAATATCTACTATCCACATAAATGAACGTAAACTCATAAAACATATCAGATATACTATCCAAACAAAAGTACGCGAACGTATAAAACACACCAAATATACTATCCACACAAACCTACTCGAAGGTATAAACCACTTCATATATACTATCCAAACAAACGTACGCAAACACATAAAACGTACCATATATACTATCAACACTGTCCAACGCGAACGTGTAGAACATACCCATATCTACTATCTACATAAACGTACGCGAACACATAAACACACCATATATTATATCCACAAAAGCGAACGAGAAGGCATAAATCACACCATAACTACTACCCGCATAAGTGTACGCGAAAGCATTAACCACACCGTATTTAGTAGCACACAAACACACAATATCTAATATCCACACAAACTTACGCGAACGCATAAAACACTATATCTACTATTCATACAAACGTATGCGAACTCGTAAACTACACCATATCTACTATCCACACAAAAGTATGAGAACGCCATAAAACACACACTCAGATATCCACACAGACAGGAAGAGAAGAAAAAACACACCATATTTGCTAGCCACACAAATGTACGCGAGCGCATAAACATACAATATCTACTATCCACGCCAACGTAAGCGAACGCATTCAAACAGACTATCTAAACAGAAGAATGTGAACACACATAAATAAAGGAGTGAGTGTTTATAGTTACACTACCGTACATTCACAGAAATCGTCAACTTAAATAGCTTATCTTTTCTAGATTGTTGAATAAGCACTGAAAAGTATTGTTTTTGTTGACGGGATGTGATAGCAATCTGTTATTGTCTAAGATTGCGCCCCCGTCTGGGGGCAGGCTTTCCTTTATGATACGGCCTGCTTCTGCAGAAAGAGGAGAACTCCTTTGTGTCCACGCAGAAGTCGACAAAACCCCTGTCTGGCTCTTGCCGTTCTTGCTGCTGTTGTTGTTTCTGTTGTCCTCTCCGCTGCTTCTGAAGTCTATTATTTTTGTTCTTTCTTGATTTCTTCTCTGAAATCTTCTTCTACCATGTCTTGGTCTACTTTTAACATCCTGACATTCTCTATTTCATCAGGCTTTGGTATCAGGTTTTACGCAAATTCACGTAAGATTTGTTAGCTAGTCTAGAATGCATCTTCGAAGGTGGATGGGTCAACAGTGGATGTTGAGACTTGAGACCGATCCAATTGATATGGTTCAAACGCGTACGCGATATAAAACGTCAACACCATTTTTTAGATTGGATTTCTATGATAACTCACGTCATAGCAAGGAAGAGAGAGAGAGAGAGAGAGAGAGAGAGAGAGAGAGAGAGAGAGAGAGAGAGAGAGAGAGAGAGAGAGAGAGAGAGAGAGAGTTATATTTTAGAAAACAAACGACAGACGCGTTTTTCAAAACACATTTTTATTTAACAGCCAACTAACAAGTAACAATAACATCAAACAATTTTTTTAAGGTTTTCAACGTTCTGAAATCATGTGAGATTTCCACTCATGGAAGTCATGAGGTCATTTGTGTACACTACATTTTCTAGCTAAAGACAAAAGATAACCATAATTGTCACAAAACCATCGATCTACCTTCTCGTCGTTTCTAGAAGAGTTATGATCAAAGTAAGTCACTAAATGTTCTAAAGAATATCAAAGACTGCGTTGATGAAGAAAAGATACACATAATACTGTCTATACACCATATATTTGTTGCCTTGTAATTTTACATTATTGAATCGTGTCGTCTGGGTATTTCTTCTCATAAAGTCAAAGTGGGTAATCGAAAGGATCAAAATACTATAGTTCATCTTTAGCACACTCGATAGGATTCCAAGAAGCAGTGAACAAACTGTTGTTCAGAAGGTAATAAAGTTCAAAGATATCTTTTATGTTTTGTTTTTCATAGCTAATGATAAG